TAAATGAAAAAACATGAGATGAGAAATTGGGAGAATATATTTCGTATTTTGTATTCCACTGATAAAGTCTATTAAGTAGGAATGGGATTTGGAATTTCGAAACCCTTTGAAATTTCAAATATTTCGTGTTATGTGAAGTTTAACAGCTTTTAATATTTTTATGAATTAAAACTCTGAAAATTCAGATAAACAATAATCTATATAAATTACAAAATTGTAATGATATGAATTTAATTTTTTTATTTTTATATACACGAATTTATAATAATATAAATAAGTCTGTGCTTAGATTTTAGACTTATTCTAATTGATAAACTTGAAAATTTTAACAAATTTCAACAATTCATTAAAATAATTTGGATAAAAAATTAAATGAAAAAATTATATTTTTTACAAAATAATAATAATTATTATTGTTTAATCTGAGTTTAAAATATTTCAGATAAATTAAAATTTGTTACAATTTTAAATTGAATAAAATATTTCTTAAAAAAGAAAATGAAGGAAGAGAGTAAGAATTGGGATTCGAAAGTTTCATGATCTTATAAAGTTTCAAATTTAAGTTTCACAAATATAAAAGTCAATGTCTATCATTAACGATATATTTTACGTTTTATATTGCAATTCAAAGACGAATTCGAAAAGTTAAACGATATTTATAATAATGATTTATGAATGAAGAATTTTTTTAATAATTTATATAGGTAAAGTAATTGTATTATAATAATAGTGTATTAAAGTTATTAATACAAATTGGCTTGTTTATTAGAATTTATTAGATATTTTGTCCTTTGCTCTTTCATGAAACGATTCGTGATATGTATATAAGATCTTTCTATTTCGATAAGTAGAACTGAATTTATGTTTCGTGTAAACGCAACATTAACCTACGATTAAAATTTAATCGAAATTACTGCTTAAAATAATTTGACATGTTAGATAAATAATATATTTAATTCGTTATATATTAATTAGTATGAATCTATATATTAGTTGACTAAAATATATTAGTTGAATAAAATATACAATAAGGAATAAAGTAGATATATATATATATATATNATTACATCTATGCAATTAGTCAACTTTATTAAAATTAATATTTGACT